TTAAATAATCAGTTTGTTTTTTAATTTATTTTTATATAATTTGAAGTGATGAGCAGAATAAATTACGCATTAATTATATTAAATTAGCAATTTGACTTTGATCGCCTTTTTTGTTAACCATCTTGTATATACCACGTGTGCACAATATAATTTTGAATTTTTAAGATTGCTGTCAGTTTTTTTTATTGTTGGCCTAAGTATTTTGTTCTTCGGTATGTTGTCTGCTTAATCCCTTGTATTACAGTATACAGTCTTGAAAAAGGTAAATATTCGTATTTCGATTATTGTTTTTAGTTTTAGTATTAACATTATTGTTATCATATATATATGATAACAATATATATATAATACACACTTTTTAGGATTCTTATTTTAAAAAGCAATGATGATTCATAGTAAAAAGCTTAGTGGCGCAGAAAACCGAAAACGAACCCATGCAAAAAATGAAGCTCAAGCAAAAATACTTTTAAAGACTGCTAAGTTAGAAACATATTTTAGCTTTACAGATAAACAGCTTCACACATCGCCGGGTAAGTTTATTTAGCTAGAAAACCATACGTTTTATTAATTTTGCTTTCTAGCAAATATATATACATATAGGTACATATTGTTCTGTTATTTATTGTTTATACTTCATATTGTTATGTTGTTTATTATTAAATGTAAATAATTTATATCTAAAATGTAGATATGTGTAGTAATCGTTATTTATGCTTTCAGTTGAAAATGTAAATAATACAAGCGATGAAAATGATCACAGCTTTATTGTTAATGAGAATAACCTATCAAATCCAGACGATTTAATATTAATATTATCAAGTAAGAGCTGTACTGAAACTAGTAAAACTCTATTGACTCCAGAATCCAAAGAACTAAATGAAACACCCTGTTTGTCCATGCATGAACATAACAAGCCCGAATGTTTATTGTAAAATCTTTATTTAAAATTTGATATAATTTATAAATAATATCTTTTGGTACATGCATGTTATACAAAATTTATTATATTTTTCTCTATAGAAACCAAAATAATCACAGATTCACTGTTAATAAAGATAATCTAACAAATCCAGACAATCTTATATTACTAAATAACAGCAGCACAGAAACGAGTAAAATTCTATTGTCTACAGAATCGGAAGAAATAAATGATACACCACGTTTGCTAATGGTTGAACATAACAGTCTTCCTTAACAAAGTATTGTTCCTGAGTAAGCTTTTTTTAATTTTTTTCATGGTAGGTTACAATTATAAACATGTACAAAGGTAGACTGTTTTTTTAAGTCGCTTGTCATGTAAAATTATGCTGGAAATTAAATTATTAACAAATATAGTACACTCTGTACATTTTAAACGATACCTATATCCTCTAGTTATATTATATTATGCACTTATCTCTATTACCTAATGCTTGAATGTTTTTTTTATACAATTTGTTATAAACTTTGAATAATATTTTTTGGTTTTTGTATATTAAACAAATATATTTTCCCTTTAGAAATGATCCTGCCAATTGGATAAAAAATCAAGAAACGATAGATTATTTATCAATCAATGGATTTAACCAAAATTTAGAGAACAATAATTTCCAAAAGTCAAAAAGAATTTACACTCAAATAATTGGTGGGGTAAGACGTACTCGTTTTCGATATATGTCAAAAAGTATATTTATATCTACTCTTGTTAATGGTGAAAAAATTAACCGAACATTTTTGATTTACTCAGAAAGTAAAGGATCAATATTTTGTGCTCCCTGCTATTTATTTGGTGGCACTACATCGTTTGCCACAGTTGGTTTTTCAGATTGGAAAAAAGGAGAAGAAAAAATCAAGCGTCATGAAAATTCACAACACCACAAATTGTGTGTAATGAATACGAAAGAAAGAAAAGAAGTATTAAATCGAGTTGATCAAAAGCTAAAGTATCAAGTAGAAACAGAAATAAATTATTGGAAAAATGTATTGACAAGAGTTGTAGCTGTTGTGAAATCCCTTTCTTCTCGTGGAATGTCTTTTAGAGGTGGTGATGACCGTTTTGGATCTGTTCATAATGGGAACTTTATGATGAGCTTAGAGCTTATTGCTCAGTTTGATCCTTTTTTAGCACAACACATTGAGAAGTTTGGAAATAAAGGAAAAGGTTCAACATCATACCTATCATTTAATATATATGAGCAGTTCATAAGTATAATGGCAGATAATGTTATTCAACAAATGGTGAAAGAAATAAAGGAAGCTAAATACTTTTCCATCAGTATTGATTCTACTCCTGACATTAGCCATGTAGATCAACTGTCATTCATTTTTCGGTATGTTCAAAAGAATGGCTGTCTGGTAGAAAGATTTTTAGGGTTTTTACCTAATTCTGGTCATAAATCTGAAGAATTAGCAGATGCTGTATTTTTAGTTTTAGAATCGCCTGGATTAGGTATTAATAATTGTCGTGGTCAAAGTTACGACAATGCGTCTAATATGTCTGGTAGATACACAGGACTTCAAGCTCGCATTAAAAAAGTTAATCCTTTAGCAACATTTGTACCATGCTCGGCACACTCTTTAAATCTTGTTGGTGAGTGCGCTGTGGACTGTTGTATTTATGCTTCTGAATTTTTTATTCTGCTTCAAAATATTTATAAATTTTTCAGTGCCTCTACTTATAGATGGGAAATACTTCAGAAGAATTTGATTAAAACAGAAAACGTATCTCTTAAAAAACTATCAGATACCAGATGGTCAGCAAGATCTGATGCAAGTATTAGTTTAAACAAAAATTGGATTGAAATAATTAATGCACTGTCTTTTATCAAAGATGATAAAACAGAAAAATCTATTACAAGATCAGAAGCTAACGGGCTATATTTAAAACTGGATAGTCTTGAAACAGCTATAATGGCCACATTATGGGGCGATATACTAGAGAGATTCAACAAAACTAGCAAACAATTGCAGTCAGTTGAGATTGATTTAGAAACAGTTGTAAGTTTATACGAATCTTTAATTCGATATGTATTAGATTTAAGGAGTATGTTTGATATCTATGAAGAGAGAGCAATAAATAAGTCAGGACACAAAACATATTGAAAAATACGCAAAAGAAAAAGAAAACTAACTGCAGATGAAAAAAGAGAAGAAGAAACAAATTTTGAAATTCGAGACTCTTTAAGAATTAATACATATTATGCTATAATTGATAAACTTCATTCTGAACTAGAAAGAAGAAAATTGTGCTATGATGAAGCCAATAAAAAATTTAACTTTTTATTTCAAATAATAAAACTTTCGCCATCAGAAGTTTACAAAAAAGCAGAGTTACTTCAAAATGTATATAAAAATGATCTTTCGTCTTCATTTGCTAACGAGTGTATACAATTCAGAAGTTATTTAATGAGTTTAACTGAAAACTTATGACCTAAAACTATAATAGATGTTTATAAAATGATCAGAACTGAAAAACTTCAAGAGCTGTTTCCTTATGTAGATATAGCATTAAGAATATATCTATGCTGCCTAACGTCCAATTGTTCAGCCGAGAGATCATTTTCAGCATTAAAGAGGGTTAAATCTTATTTGAGGTCGCGAATGACAAGTGATCGTCTTAATAGGTTAGCTATTCTATCTATAGAATCTGTACTTACCATAGATATGAACTTTAATGACATTATAAATACATTTGCAAAACAAAACTCACATAGAAAATTATAATTTTCTATAGTGATTAATATAACTTAATATATGTTGGTATAGAATATGTTTTTTTTTTTAATGATCACCCCATATCAAAGTTGACATTATTCTTAAAAAAGGGCGCTTATAGGAACAGTGCCCCAGGGCGCCAAAAAATTCAAATACGTCTCTGTATATATATATATATATATATATATATATATATATATATATATATATATATATATGTATATATATATATATATATATATATATATATATATATATATTTATATATAAATATATCCATTACAGTTAAGACTCTTAAAGTTATTTTAAGGCAGAATACTCCAAATGTTATACCTTCAGCTTGTATGGCATGTGGTAATGTTAATATTTCAAACTTTTCTGAAACACCATATCTTTGTTGTAAGTAACAACTACTGTATAATAGTAAAAAAATTATAAAAGATGTAATTACAAATTTTGACATAGGAATATCTAATAATAATATCATACTTCCATTTCACTTCTTCTTTTTTGATGGAATTTATCTGTTCTCCCATAGGATCCATAAAGTGAATTGCTTTATTACCTGGTTTGATTATCTAAAACACAAGTGAGTTTTAAAATCAGGTTCAAAGTTAGGTTCCCTGTAAAAAAATGGGGAACCTAACCTTTCACTGAAAGTTAAACTTTTTGTACTTAGAGAAATAAACTTTTTCAAAAAACAATTATACTATTTTACATACTGCATTTTTCCACCATACAGCGTATTAGCATATATTGTTTTAAAGAGCTCTTTCTATGAAGATATGTATATATATGTATATATATATATATATATATATATATATATATATATATATATATATATATAGAGAGAGAGAGAGAGAGATATATAGATATATATATATAGATATATATATATATGTATACATATATATATATGTATATATATATATATATATATATATATATATATATATATATATATATATATATATATATATATATATATATATATATATATGTATATATATATATATATATATATGTATACATACATATATGTATATATATATATATATATATATATATATATATATATATATATATATATATATATATATATATATATATATATATATATATATATATATATATATATATATATATATATATATATATTTGTGTTTGTGTGTGTGTGTGTGTGTGTGTGTGTGTGTGTGTGTGTGTGTGTGTGTGTGTGTGTGTGGGTGGGTGTGGGTGTGAAATACTCTATAATTAAATTAATAAATCATTAATTTTTTTAGATAAAAGTTTTTGAATACCTTATGCCGTCTTTGTATTAAATCAGTTTTAATTTGCAATTCATCCAGTGAGCGTAGCCCAGCTGGCTACAGTACTTCGACTCGATTCTTCAAAGCATCAATAAATGGAATGGCATTCAATATATTGTTTTATATTTAGAATTAAAATTTTATTTAAATAAAGACAAATTAAAAAAAAAAATGCGTTATTGTTTTTTTGTACAATAATTTTATTATAAAGTACATTAATTAATCATACTTTTTCTTTACTGTTTACTAATATTTTGAGATAAATATTAACAACTTCGTCACTGAGACATTCGTTTAAAGTGCCTTGTAACGAATAATCGTGTACCTTGCAGCCACCTAAATCTGGATGTATACCCAGAATGACTTTTACAGGGTTTTTTAATATGGATACATTTTATTATTCCGTAACCTACTCATGAAATGCAATTTAAGGATAATTTCCTCAAAATTTAAGCAGAAGCCTTTCTTCTAATAAAATAACGACTATTACATTTATTGAAGATTACATGTTTTAAAACTCTGCACATATTTTTTCACCAGGTTGGATAATGTTTAAATTGATTATTTAAATAGGTTTACATAAAAATCCTTATTACAATAAAAAGGTAACGCTAAAAAAATGTAAAAGTGATTTATTATTATATACCTTCACTGTCTTTAGCTGCAAAGATTTTTATAATTATCTGCCTCCTCTAGAAAATAAATTATAAATAAAATAAAACGCTAACAATTACAAATGAATAAGTAAGTTTTTAATTCATACCTTCACTATCATTAACTTCAAAGCTTTTTGTTGGTGTCTCTGCCTTCTCTTGAAAATAACCATAAAATAAAATAATGAAAAAATATGTTTTAACAATAAATTAAAATAAGAAAACGAATATTTTACCCGAGTATAAATCAAAAAACAATAAAAATTGTTTTCATGTTAGTATTACCTGTAGAAAGTTAAACAAATATTAGGTTTGAAGAAAAAATAAAATATTTTATAAATAGAATGAAAACTTCATTGAAGTAACAGGTATATCAGTAACTTCTACAGAGTAACAATATTAAAAAAAAAACATTTCTCTTCTCAGCGTTTTTTAAAAACGTTTAAAGACCTGTATTAGGCGTAATAAAATTTAGACGCCTTTGAATAGCTATGGCTTTCTGAGACAAGTGTCTGACAAAGATGTCTTTTAAACTAAAATAAGTGAACATAAACTCTCAACCTCAACCAATATATCTAAAAATATAATGTAACTTCACTTTGTTTTAGCTCATTCTTTTTCTAGCGCTTATCTTTCTTTAAACCTTTTAATTTTCTAATCTGATCAAAACGAGCTTCTTGATTCACAAAAAAGTTATGCCAAATATTGTGCGGCCGTGGCGCAGTGGTTAGATCATATGCTTTATAAGCAGGAGATCCAGGTTCAAAACGATCTTTGGACATATTTCGCGTCATGGTAAGGAAGGAAGCGTGAACTTCCTGGTTAAATGCACTTCCGCGGTGCTCTGTGACAAGACCGTTAGGACTTCTAAGGGTACCTAAATAACAAATTAAAAAAAAAAAATTGTAAATAAGGACAATTTTGTGCAGATTTTTTGTTATTTTTATTATGGCTACGCGTTGGCACCGGACTCGTTGAATAAAAATTTAATCAATTTTTATTATAACAATTAACATAGTCAGTTTTGTTACCTAATTCAATCATTTAAATTAAACCACCACGCTTTCGTCTTTTTTTCAAACTTGTTGAATTCAACGCTATAAATCTGTCATTATAAGGATGATTATTATTTCTTAGTGAAATCTTATTCGAACAATCCTGCACTTTAGCATTTGTGTCATTAAGAAAATAGGAAAACCTAACAAAAGCAGAATATTGTTAGTGTGGAAGAATCAGTGGCGGAACTTCAAAATTTGGCCCCCCCCCCGCCAAAGAATGTTTTTTTTGCGGAAAAGAGTTTTATAGTATAAATATTATTGAGAGTATAACTTTTTTTATATGAGGGCCCCCTATAGCTGGTAGGCCCCCCCGCAACGCAGGGTCCTGCGTCCAGTAGTTCCGCCACTAGGAAGAATAATACTTGCTCAATAGTATTTTTTTTCAAAATTTTTATTTTTACAAAAATGTTGTGTTAACATTTGATAGAATATATATATATATATATATATATATATATATATATATATATATATATATATATATATATATATATATATGTATATATATATACAACAAACCGTTTATGTACTTTGTCTTTTACAGTACATTATTCTTTATCATTTCAGTTCAGTATGATATTGGATGATTCTAATACATGAAATACATGATTTTATAATTTATTGTAATAAATATAAGTTAATTTTTTAACTGCCACTTTTAAAAATTTGTATAATTTTAATAATTGTGAACTGGACTAAATATTATTAACTCGCCTCAACAGGCTCAATAGTCACATTATATTTCCATACCAAGCCAAAGAAACGTTAATATTTAAAAATAGTTCTTTAAAATGTTCCTTTATTAAGAAAAGAAGTTTCTATTATTCAAAAAAAGTATCTAAAGAAGTTATAACCTTCCCAAAACATTACGCCTAAGCCACCATAGGTGGACGTAATGGAGAAAAATTTTAAATTATGCAATAGAACAAAAAAGACAAACCGTAATTATTTATTTTCCTTCAAAACGTTTTGTACATTAAAATATTTATGTTGTAAGATATGAATACATTTAGAGTAAAAAATTATTGTAATTAATTTCGTTCATTTTAAATCTTATGAAAACTTTAATTCCACCAAAGTTTTATATATGACTTCGTTGAACAATGTCGAATGTTTAAATTGTTAGCTCAATCGTATCTAAAAAAAAATAAAATATTAAATTAAAACTTTAAAAAGCTAAAAACACTTTAAATATTAAAGTTTTTTGATTTTATTAAAAGTTCTTTAATTTTTTTTTAATTCTTTAATTAAATATATAAATTTATTATAAAGATCTCCCCATCAGAGGAGGACCCAAGAAACAAAAAGTAGCTAACGATATTTGAGATACATATCTTACTTAAATTACTTATCAACCCTATGCAGGCGTCTAAAATATTATTATTATCCCACTAAGGAATTCTTTACAATATTTTAAACAATTAGTATTTTGTGTTTTAAATATCAGATTCCTCACTTAAAAATTCTGTGTGTATCACATAAAGAAACTAAAATTTTTACATAAAATATCACATCCCCCCTTTGTATACTTTTAAAATATTACATCCCCCTAAGTAATTCTTTACAATATTTCATTAGGTATCAAATACTAATCCATGATTAGTATTTAGTACCTAGAATATCACATTCCCCCTATTTATTCTCTATAAATGTCACAAAATAAAACTGAAATTCTTACTTAAATTACACATCCACCCTATTCAGGCGTCTAAAATATTACATCCCACTAAGTAATTCATAAAATAATTCAAACAATAAGCATTTAGTAACTAGACTATAACATCCATCACTTGTAATTTCTGTATAAATAACATAAAGAAACTGAAATTCTTTCTTAAAATATCACATCCCAACTATGTCTACTTCTAAAATATTACATCTCCCAAAGTACTTCTTTACAATATTACAATATTTCATTTAAAAGTTCTGTATATACCACAAAAAGAAACTTAAATTCTTATAATATCACATGCCCTCTATGTTTATCTTTAAAAAATTACATCCCCCTAAGTAATTCATAAAATTTTTCAAATAAGTAGTAACTACTATCTTGAATATCACATTCAACACTTGTAAATTATATTTGTACCACAAAAAGAAACTAAAATTCTTACTTAAAATATCACATCTCCCCTATGTATACTTCTAAAATATTAGATCCCCCTAATTATTTTTCTACAATATTTCAAGCAATTCATATTTCGTATTTAAAATATTACATCTCCCCTGTGGAATCTCTGCATATGTCACAAAAAGAAATTGAAATTCTTATTTAAAACATCACATCCCTTCTATGTTTACCTTTAAAATATTACATCCCTAAGTAATTCATACAATATTTCAAACAATTAATATTTGCTATTTAAAACATCACATCCCCTCTATGTTTACCTTTAAAATATTAGGTCCCCCTAAGTAATTCATACAATATTTCAAACGATTAGTAATTGGTATCTAGAATATCACATCTCCTCGGTTTATTCACTTTATATGTCACAAAAAAACCCCGAAGTTCATACTTAAATATCACATCCCCCCTATATTATATCCCTCAAAGTAATTCATACAATATTTCAAACGATTGCTATTTGGTACCAAGAGTATCACATCCATCACTTGTAAGTTCTGTATGTACCACAAAAAGAAACTGAAGTTCTTACTTAAAATATCACATCCCCCCTAGGTATACTTTTAAAACATTACATCCCCCTAAGCAATTCATACAATATTTCAAACAAAATAATATTTGCTATTTAAAATATCACATCCCTCTGTAGATTCTATGTATATGTCACAAAAAGAAACTGAACTTCTTACTTAAAATATCACATCCCCCCTACGTATACTTCTAAAATATTATATCCCCCAAAGTAATTCATACAATATTTCAAACGTTTTGCTATTTGGTACCAAGAGTATCACATCCATCACTTGTAAGTTCTGTATGTACCACAAAAAGAAGCTGAAGTTCTTACTTAAAATATCACATCCACCCTATGTATACTTTTAAAATATTACATCCCCCTAAGTAATTCATACAATATTTCAATTGATTAGTATTTGATACCTAGAATATCACATCCCCCTGTAGAATCTATGTATATGTCACAAAAAGAAACTGAACTTCTTACTTAATATATCACATCCCCCCTAATGAATACTTCTAAAATATTACATCCCCCTAAATAATTCATAAAATATTTCAAACGATTGGTATTTGGTACCTAGAATATCACATCCATCACTTGTAAGTTCTGTATGTACCACAAAAAGAAACTTAAATTCTTACTTAAAATGTCATATCCCCTCTATGTTTACCTTTGAAGTAATACATCCCATAAGTAATTCATAAAATATTTCAAAAGATTAGAATTTAGTATCTAGAATATCACATCCCCTCGGTTTATTTGCTATATATGTCACAAAAAGAAACTGAAATTTTTACTAAAAGTATTAAATCCCTTCTAAGTTTGCCTTTAAAATATTACATCCACTAAAGTATTTCATACAATATTTCAAACAATTAATATTTGCTATTTAAAATATCACATCCCCGCTATGTTTACCTTTAAATTATTACATCTTCATAAGTAATTCATACAATATTTCAAACAATTAGTAATTGGTATCTAGAATATCACATCTCCTCGGTTTATTCACTGTATATGTCACAAAAAAAACTTTAAATCTTTACTTAAAATATCACATCCCCAACCTTTACTTTAAATATCACATATTTTATCTCTAAAATATTACATCCCCTAAGTAATTCATACAACATTTCAATGGTTAGTATTTAGAGTTTAAAATATAAGATTTATCACTTGCAAATTCTGTATGCACTACAAAAAGAAACTGAAATTCTTACTTAAAATATCACATCCCCTCTATGTTTACCTTTAAAATATTACATCCCCCTAAGTAATTCATACAATATTTCAAACGGTTAGTATTTGGTATCTAGAATATCACATCCCCTCGGTTTATTCACTGTATATGTTACAAAAAGAAACTGAAATTCTTACTTAAAACATAACATCCCCCCGACGTCTACTTCTAAAATATTACAACCCCCAAAGTAGTTTATAAAGTATTTTAAACAATTAGTATTTGGTATATAGAATATAACATCCACCACTTGTTATTTCTTTATATGTCACAAAAAGAAACTAGAATTCTTGCTTAAAATATCACATCCCCCCTATGCAGGCTTCTAAAATATTGCTTACGATTGTTATTTTTATTACATAAAGTATCCCTAATGTGTAATTTTCTTCTACGCTATTGTCACACAATACATTACGATCAAAATATTATAAATAAGAATTTAAAATATATTACCATTTTATGCTAACTTCATTTATAGTATATTAGTAAAAAAACGTTTTTATGAATCTCGTTTTAATTATATTGTTTATAATTGAATGTTTCGGACGTATTTGATACACTTATAAGTGCAATGACTCGAAAGCGCGTTCTCGTTTTCATTTTTTCTATGGGGGATGTAATATTTTAGGCGGATGTGAT